TTCTTGTTTACTTTCGATTATGGTATATTCTGGTGTATTTTTTTCTCCATCATCATCATCCGATCATCATCATAGTCGGACATTGGAAACCAATCATGTTTTTTTTTTCGTTTTTGGAGAAAAAAAACATTTCATTTCGTTAATATTAATGTCATGTGATCGCATCAAGATATCATCATGTTCTATGATTTATAATACCTGATTCTTTATGGCAAAAATAAAAAATAAAATCATCTTCTCTTTTCCATGGAAAAAAAAGTATTTGATAAGGTCATTGTGATGATGGTAATACTCTTTTTTTTCCATCTTTATAAGCTTTTTTTTGTTGAATGTAAAGTGAATTTGAAAATATTTTTTTTTTGTTGAAAATGAAAAGAAGTCGAAAAAACAGATAAGATTGCCTAGAATACCTATGATGATGTTGATGTTTTTGTTTGATGATGCTTGACGGTTGCTGCTGCTTCTGTAATTTTCTGTTCCTATCCTAAACTAGCTTGAAGGATTTTTTTTTCTTATCGAAAGATTTCACTATTTTTTCTGGTACTTTTTTGTTTGGAATTGATGTTCCACACTTGATTCTTTTGTTTGTTTGTTTGTTGGCTGTTGTTGTTTGTTCAACATTATTATGATGGAGAGGATGTGTGATTATCATTATTCATAAATCAAAGAAAGAAAAAAAAACTATTCAAGTTTTTTCTATGCCTATTTAATTTTTGAATGAAAATCGATTTTTCTTATTCGAAAGAAAAGAAAAGAAAATTCTCCATAACAGGACCGAAAAAATGGAAATTTGATCAAATGGAAATTATTTACTTTTTTATGACAGAGGAATGGTTATTAGCCAACAGAAAAAGAAACCATTTATGATTAATAAGAAACTTTTTTTTCTATTCAGCTAAAAAAAAAGAAATCAAACTCTAGTTTATTTGAGGCAATCGGGAAATTTTTCCTGAAAATAATTATTAAAAGATTTTTTTTTCGGGAAAAATTTCTGATGATCATTTTCTTAAATCGATAGATTTTTTGTTTGTGTCCTCTGTTTGTTTTTATCAAAACGATTTAAGTAAATGATTTTATTTTTAATCACTTTCAAATATTGAAAGATATATGTGTGTCTCCATAATCTACTAATCTATATGATATGTTTAATATCATTTGGTAATGTGATTTTCTTTGGAAAATTTCCCCAATCATTTTCAAAAATCCAATTTTCAACAAAACAAAAAAAAAAGATGCTATAATCATTATCATTAACGATATCGTTTTATAGATGATGATGATTCCATTTATCCGATTATCAAAAAAGTTTTCCATGATCATTCCACTCTATTTCTATCAATTCAAGTCATCAACTATTGTCGAAGTAGGGAGGTGAGGGGAAGGAAAAGAAAATCAAACAATATTTGTGATATGTGTTAAGGTAAAAAAAAAGAAAAGATATTTTCATGAAAAGAATCATCATCATCATCATTATCATAAATAATTCTCGCGAGAGATGAAAACAAAACAAACAAATCTCTCTATATGTTAACATTCTTTGTGTGTGGACAAAAGAAAAAAACACTGATGACAAAAAATTGTTGTTAAAATAACAAACAAACAAACAAACAACATAATCATCATTTTGGAAATAAAATAGAAAATAAAACATTTTCTGCAGTTTGGATATGGTTTTGTTTTTCGTTTTTCCTTGTTGTTGTTGTCCATAGAACACAACACAAAGAAGATGTGAAGGGAAAAAAAATTAATTTCAATTAAATTTCCATTTAGTTTTCTTTTTCCCTTTGTCACTCATTATATATTCTGTATGAAACTATATGAAAAAAAATTTTTTTACCCGAGAATTATATCAAGTTTGTCCTAGTTTTTATTTTTTCATTGAAAAATGATGATGTTTTATACAAGTAAAATTGAATTCTGAACATTGTGAATTTGGAAAAAAAACTGGGCTATCAATAAATTTTGTTACGATGTAATCGCTCATCGAATTTTTTTTTTGACCATTTTTTTCGCTCAAAAAAGAATAATATTTCCCGGAAATTTTACTTTCAGAAAAAACGCAAAAGATTTTACAATTTCTTCTTCCCAAAGTAAAACATCATCTCATTTAATTCGGCGGTATTTTGTTTGTTTTGTTTGTTTGTTTCATACGCTCGATTAAATTCGTTACATTCCAGAGATTCAATTGAATTGCATTAATGTTATCATCATCATCGTGATGTTTGTTTTTGTTGTTGTTGTTGGAATTATTCAATCAAATTGAATTGGCCGATCGACTAAATCCATAAGATTTGTTTGTTTGTTTTTCTTATTTCAATCAAAATAGATTTGTTCTGTAATTTTTGGCCAAGATTAGTTTTGAATATTGATGTTGATGATGATTATGGCATCGAAATTGGATTTTTTTTCGTTGTTTGTATCGTCAAAACATTCAAACAAATTGTTCTTATTAATTTGTCAATTTGTATGGTATTTGATCGATTTATTTGAATCTTAACAACAACAACAACTGCGAGATAAAAAAAACATGAATGAATGGTGATGATTGCTTGTTTATCTTGATTAGGATTTTGGTCTTATCAAATTTGTTTGTCATTGGATTTTTCTTTTCTTTTTTTCTGGATCTTCTTGTGGTTTGTTAAATTATTATTATTTACACACGATAAATTTTTTCCGAACTAAATCCTTTTTCTATTCAAAATGTTTCTATTTTCATCTATTTATCATTCGTTTTATTTTCCCGAAGGATTCATCACTTGTGGAAAAGAATCTATAATTAATTGCAAATAACCAGAATGAACAAAGTAAATCCTATGAATTTTCGTTTTGTTTTGTTTCCCATTCTCAATTCTTTATTATATCACCATTTCGTTTGTGATGGTAATGATTAACCAGAATCAAACATACACACACAGTGAAATCTATCTATTTTTCACTGAAAATTTTTCAAATTCATTTATTCATGAATTCTTTGTGTGAGAGAAAAAAAACTGCATAATATTCAGATAGATTTTATATGAATAAATTATTGGAAAAATGAATGAATGAATGAATGAATGATGAGAAAGCTTTTCCAGTTTTATAATTTTTCAATCTAATCATTTGATTGCTGTGTGTGTGTGTGTGTGTTTGTGTCTGTGAGTGTGTAAAATTGTATTTCAATTAAATCAGCAGAATTTTTCCTGACAAAATCATTGAATAAAGGAATTTTGTTTGAAAAGAATTTCATTGCAAGTTAGAGAAAGAAAGAAAGAGAGAGAACGATATGAGATAAGCAAAACTAATGGAATTTTTATTATGTTTGTTTTTTTGCCATCATCAACATTACCATCCGAAAAAAATTGGTCCATCATATGACCAGATTTAAAAAAAACTGTTGATGACGTTTTAATTATTCAAAGTTTTTTTTCCTGTTGTCTTTTACATTCTAGATCTGTTTGTTATTCTTTGTTAATTTTTTTGGTTCTTCCCCAAATATTCATTCATTCATTAATGAATGAACTTTTGTAAATTATTATTTTTTTCTTGTGTTTGATGTGGAAATAGTGTTTAGCGTTTAGTTTTTTTTTTCACTGAGATAACTCTCTAACCATCATCATATTGGATGATAATATGGAATTCTGGTTCATCATTATTTTATTTGGGAAACATTTTTTGTTTCATTTCATTGGATTTCATTTTTTTCTGTTTCACTGAATAATGATTGAAATTTGATATTATCCACCATCCACTATGTAATTATGATGATGGAGTGTAAAGATTTTTTTTATGTGTTTTGCAAGAGTTTTTTTTTGTTTTAAATTACAGCCTAGGATTACAATTTTGAATTGATGTTTTTTTATTCGTTGTTGGTTCCACCATTTAGATGAGTGAGAGAGAGAGAGTGAGAGAAAAAAAGCTGTAATTTTTTTTTCTTAATTTTTAATTTTTATTTTTAAACTTTTCACATTTTGATATTGTTTTAATAGCAGTTTTTCTTTTTGCTGAAAAATTTCCAGAAAAATCTGAAATGAAAATGATTGAATGACAATCAAAGTAGACAAGGGAGTATATCATCAAAGTTTTCTTGCAATTTTTGATTCTAGAATTTGCTGGAATTTGAATTGTGACGTCAAGATCATTAACCATTTAGTTGATAATAATGGCAACAACAACAGCAAATATAGAATTTTCGCTTTTTTTTCATAAGAATCGCTGATGATTTTGTCGGTCATCAATTTAATCATTATCATCATCATCAACATGAACCAAAGAATTTCCTTTTCAATCATACTTTTTTTTCTCTCCTTCTTAACCCTGTTTCTGGTTAAATTTATTTCTGCCTGTCCACACTGGAAAAAACATCCATAAATTGATGGTCTTATGGTGAAACGAAAAACAAAAAAAAAATTGACCCAAAATTTCCATTTGGGAAAATGAATGAAAGAAATGAAATGAAAGAATTCATTATGCTATTCATTTTCATTCTGGCCATACATTGTCATTGTAATTTAATTTATTTATCATCATCATCATCATCAATGGTGATTTGTTTTTCCCGTGAACTATAAAAACCAATATGTTTATCATTATGTGTGTATGTCGGTGTTGGTGTCACATCCGTTAACGAAGCAACAAAAACAACAACAAAAAAACCCGAAAAAAATCATATTAGATTATATTGAAAGGGAAAAAGAATGATTTCAAAGTTTCTCTATTATTTTCTCGTTGGGTTCCAAACACACACATTATTATTTTAGCCTTAACTTTTTTCCTTTTGTTCTCCGTAATTTTTTTTTGTTGTTGTTGGTAACTTTGTTACTACCGATATCTTTTCCTGTTTTTTTTCAATCTGTTTTGTCCGTTTTTTTTTTGTTGTTCCGGCTTTTTTTCTGGGTAGAATATTTTTTTAATGTTGTTTTTTTTTGGTCGACTATATCAATCATTTTGTGTTTGGGTTTATATTTAGCCAATGATTAAAACTTTCTTTTTGTTTTTAAATTTTATTCTGATAAATACAGGGTATGATACAGATTATTCAGAATTATACAAAGGATTGGCTGTTGTTATTGGTTTTTTTCTATTCTTGGTTCTTCTATTATTGATATTCATATTAATATCTTATCTACGTAAATGGTATCGCCTTAAGAAACGTCCAAATGAAGCCGTTGTTGGTAATAATAATGAACGATTAAATTCAACAAATGTTTCCATTACTGGCCAATTACAACATCAACAACAATTACCACCACATTCAATGAATTTAAATCATCATCAACAACAACAACAACAACATCATCAATCAATCAATTTACAATCATTACCATCATCGGGTAAACCATCTGTATTATCATTACATTCACATAAATCATCAATAAGTAAAAGTGGTACACCAACATCAACAACAACATCGGGTCAATTTAATTATGGTTTGGATAAAGATCAGCAAACAAAATTTTATAAAAAACATAGCCGTGTTGGTTTATCACAAAATTCATCAGCTAATTCATCACAACCACCAACGCCATTATCATCAAAATTATCATCATCATCGATGACAAAAAAATCATCAACAACATTAATAAATCCAAATTTAGTGACAATATCATCGACGACACCATTACCACCAACACTACCAATAACATCAACAACATTGTCGATGACACCATCAGCAAATATTGAATTAATACATGATCCAAATATTGTGATGACAACAACCGGTGCCATTGATGGTAGTTGTGGTGGTGGTGGCGGTATTAATCCATCATCTATTCAACATCATCATCATCATGGACATTATCAAGAATTTCCACCACAACAACAACAATCATCTACAACGATTATTTATCAACAGCAACCACAGGGACAACAATTACCACCACCATCACATATTGTATCAATGATGCAAACAACAAATGATCATCATCATCATCATCTTAATCAACAACAACAACGTAAAGATAGCCATTCATCAATGCAATTATCATCCATTTCTGGACAAACCGATATACGTCCAAGTGGTCGATCGAGCTTGGCTACAATTACATTAAGTTAAGATGCCTCAAACAATAATATTTACATATTTTAAAAATCATGATCTCTACAAAAAATAAAATAAATTCATTGATATTTTCATCATCATCATAATCACATCATCCGTTCCATTACGAACAATTTCATTTAAAATTATTGTTGTTGTCCTAAGTTGCACAATCATCATCATCATCATCATCATAGATCCAACAACCAATTCTTTTTTTTCGTTTTCGTACCGAAAAAATAATGTTCAAAACACCCTGTAGAAAAATTCTCTGTTGTTATTATCATTGTGTGTCTAGAAATAATAATATTATTATTATCGTATAGATAACATAAACAAATCATTTGCATTCTTATCATCATCATCGTAATCGTAACATCAACATTGAATATATTTTTGTCGTTATTGTTATTTAGCCATTTTAGCATCGACTTGTGTTTGTCCGTGTGTGTGTGTGTGTTTAAATTTAAAATTTTCACCAACAACATTTTCATCGTTTTCATATATAAACAACGAAGAATAAACACCTAACATAATATTTTATACACACACTACCTCGATTATGATCGTTATATATCATACAAAGTTTATATAAATACAAACGATTTTGTGTGTGTGTGTTTTTCATTCACAACATTTCCATTTAATCATTATGATGATAGTTATTATTGAAAATTCTTGTTCATCATTCATTAATCGATGTATATTTAGAGATTTAGAAATGTTTGATTGATTGATTGATTGATTGATATGTTTGATGTACAAAAAAAAGTGATTCCGAAAATAAATAGCAACATCGAACATCAATTAACAAAAATCTCATTTTCACATTATGATGATCATTATCAACATTTTTTTCTGTCATAATAATGTTTGTTTGTCTTGTTTCATTAATAATAATCCAAAAATAATCATCGAAAAACAACAACAACAACAAAAATAAACATTTTTTCCCATCAAAATCAACATTCAATTAGCTTTTTTTTTCACCATTCCAACACCCACACACGCATACAATGATAATTTGTAAATTTCATTATCGAAAATCATTATCCCAATCTATCTCTATCTCTCTCACTTTTGATCTATTTGAATATCTATTTTACATCAACCAACAACAACAACAGAAAAATATTATTTTGACCAAATAAAAAATTATATAAATCTTGTTTCGATTAATAATTATTGTTATAAATATTTATTATTCTAATCTAATCATCATGTTTATCATTCATAATTTTATCGAATCATTATTATTTTAAAAAAATTTAAAACAAAACAAAAAAAATTATAACAAAATATATTCATTCCCTAACCTTTTTTTTTCATTCCAAAAACAGAATACGTTTTCATTCACACACACAGAATTAGATTTTAATTACAAAATTTTCTCTTTTTGTTTTTTTTTTGATTTTCATTACAAATTCATTATTCTGGAAACATTTTGATCAAAACATTATATACTTGTATTACTCGCGGTGATTTTTTTCTTTATTTCTTTCTTTGTCCCAATTCTTTTGATGAATATTACTATCTAATAAATAAAGACGAAAATTTTATCACTTGTTTCATTTTATTGAATTTTATTCTGCAAAAAAAAATTCTCCATTGAAATAAACAAAACGAATTAAAAGAGTTTGTTTTTCCGAAGAATAAATTCCGGAATATTAAAATACGAAAAAAGAAAAGAAAATAATACGAATGTCTTATGCGAACAGTGATGATAATGATAACAAACAAACAAACAAAAGAATCCGATTTTCCATCATACTTAAAAGTATTGAAAATTACCTTTTTTTCCCCATAACACTTATCATTTATTCATTCATTAAAAGATATAATAACAATACTGATATAATGGAATAATTTGCTCATCATTGATAAAATCTTTAGAGAATTGAAACTAATTAAAGCTTAAAAGACAACTATAGTTAGTCTATAGACAAGAGAGACATCGGATAGAATTATATAATGATGACCCATTATATATTGTTTGTTTCAGGCACATTTCAAATGAACAAAACAAAAGAAAAGATTCTTAAGAATGATATTCTGTAGAAATATAGTATGATAACTAACTATAGTGGGAAAATCAAAAGAATCTTATCTAAAGAAAACAGGAAACTCATTACATGCCACACACATTTAACAGAAACAGAAATGTATTTAGAAAATAGATTTTCAAATGGATAATAATGATTAATTAATCGAAAAAAAAAAATGATAATCTTATTATCTTATTCTGTTATTTTTTCAACTGATAATATCTATTAATTAATGATGATGATTATTATTATTATTAATAAATAAATAAGATAATTTAGCTTATCACCTGTAAACAACAACATTAGACACGACAAAAGCAAATTGAATATTAAAGAAAAAAAAACCCGGATTCATGATGGATGATTATGCTTCAAGATTGATGATTTTTTTTTGTTGGATGTTGTCCACCATCAACCAACAAACAAACAATAACGAAATTTATGACCAGAACAAATGAATGACAATATTTTTGTTGTTTGTGGTTTTTTGCATTTTCATTTCATCATTTTCTTCCTGTTCGATACACATGATATCACACAAACGAAATACAACACATAATGGATAGAGATAGATAGAGATAGATGGAGAGAGAAATGGCATTTTCATTCATTTCAGCAAAAAGAAATATGCTGTTTTTTTTCTTTCATCATTGTTATTCGGGTTGATTTAGTTATTGTAGTTAGTTTTTTATACATCCAATATTGTCATCAACAACAACATGTGATAATCATCATCATTATTATGTGAATGAATGCAATTTAAATGTAAAGGCGGAACAAACAAACAAACAAAAAAAAAAGAAATTTTCGGTGTGTGTGTGTGTGTGCTATATGGATGATGAATATTTCTGTGGCCAAATTACATTACAATCATCATTATAATCAAGTTAGTTGAATTTTTTTCTTCATTTATTCATTCATCTTTTTGCTAACTAGCTAGATTTGATGATCATTGATGAAATCAGAGAAATGGTGATAATATCATATCATATCGTACATTTCATCAATCAACAAAGATTTAATGTTTTTTTTTTTTTTTTGGATTTGATCAATGACATTAAATCACAACCCGTAAGGTAATTATTATCATTAGAAAACAAAAACTTGAAACCTGATTGTGAACCAACGAAAACAACAACAAAAAAAATCAAAGGTTGAATGATTCTCATCGAATTGATTGTTTGTTTGTGTCACATTCACATACACGAAACACACAATAAGTTAATCAAATTATTATGTCATACATTTTTCATTGATTTTTCTCTCTTTTTATTTTTCTTCTTCAGATTTTTCTCATCATCTTGAAATCTTTTATATATTTTTTTTTGTTTCATTGGTGAATGTTAATGTAATTATGTGTAGAGTCGATGGCACCATCAAAAAAATCAACAACAACAACAACAACAATGACGACATCGTCAATGTCGTTCATCAATGATAATAATCTTATTGTGAAACCAAAATCATTATTTCAATATTTTAATCCAACATCGGCAACATATCAGGTAAATCCTAAACCTAGACAAACAACATTATTAAAACGACCAAAATCATCGATAATATCATCATGTTCATCGATAAACAATGAAAAAATTATCGTCGATCCATCTATATTGAATTCAAAATCATTAGATTCTTCGTTGTCTACAGATACTAAACTACATGATACTATTGAAATAATGCATTCAGAAGTTAAAACTTTTCAAAATGATGACTATAACGGTAATGATGTCGATGATGATAATTCAATTACAAAAACCGATATTGTTACACAGGAAATTTGTTGTCTATTAGCCGAAGGTTCACCTACTTGTTTTATATCAAATTTTTCATCAATGATTGAACTTTATGAAAAAATTGCTCATTGTTTTGATATATCTGCGAAAGAGGTGAACTAAATCATTATTTTTTTTTACCTGAACTTTTATTCAGAATTCAACTATTTTTTGTTTTATTTTTTGTTTTGTTACTTTTCATGATCAAATAGATAATGTATTGTACATTGAATACACCAAAAATCGATATGGATCAAGTACTTTGTGGACAAATTTGTCTTAATGATATTGTATTCGTTCATCGAAAAGGTCGTCGTAAAGATGTTGAAATAAAAAAAACTGAACAATTTTTAGGTCTTACTATTGCCGATAATGGTTATGGTTGTTCATATATTAAAAATATTCATCAAAATTCTGTTGTATCAAAAATTCCATTTATTCAAGTAAGTTTTTCTATTTTGAATTTCTTTTCTTTTCTTCTTTTCCATTCATTTATAATCATCCACATTGAGATCTGTGGTGTGTTTTCTTCTTCTTCTTCAACTCAACTAACTAAATTAGATCACCAGAAAAAGAAGAAGAATCCGTATGTTTTTTTTTTGCTTTCTTGTTTGATTTATTTTTCATTTGTCATCCAGTGACAAATTTTTCGCAACCAGTTCGATATCCTCCACTACCACCCACACACACACACATCCACAAGATGGAACATCATCATTGGACAATGATAATAATGATAATAAACCAAAATGATGTGTCAAAAAATAAATGAAGATGAATGAATGTTCATTAATTCTGTTTCTTTTTGTTTTTTCTGTTGCGTCATCATCATCATCATTAGTTTTATTTACTTCTAAGTAAAATACAAAATTACTAGCTGAAATGAATCAAATCTAGCCAAAAAAAAACAACAACAACAACAACAGAAAAAAACTTAGCAAAATCAGCAAAATCTTACTATTTTTTCATTTAATAGATAAGAATTATTTATTTCCAAAAATGTTCAATGTTTCTTTTTTTTCAATTGGATAAATTATTCATTTAACAAAATTAAGCCTGATGTTAAGTGGATGAGCTTAGCGATAGAGATGGAGAGAGAGAGAGATTTTGTTTTTCAAGATAAACGATCAATATAAACTAAAAGAAGAACCAAGAATCGAAAATGGTCATTGACAAATTTAACTTTGCTCGAATCTCTTGCTGTATAAATTGGATTTTTTTTTCTATCCAGAAAAACTAAAACTATAAGGGTGTAATATTTTTGAAAATTACATTTTTAACAAAAAAATGATTACGCCTTTTGTCATTTAGAAAACAAAAAACAAAATTTCATATCAAAACATTTAATCAACAAATAGTGATGATAATAATATTATGACTTGTCCAATTTACTTGCAGTTATTTAAAAAAAAAACAGTAGGCAATTTCCATTTCACATAAACATCCTACTATTTATCCACCCTTACAACACACACAGAGAGATACAAATACCCGATTGAATCTAGGGAAGAAGAAGAAATTATGACAAACTATACAATAAAATAGGAAATATATTGTAACTTTTGTTGGTTGGTTGGTTGGTTAGCTGGTTAGTTGTTGTTGTTATTATCATTTTTTATCATCTATAAAATTATTTTTACTAAATAAATGATGATGATAATGGTTATAGATAGATATTAAGGAAAAATGAAACAAAACAAAAAATGTCACCATCATAATCATCATCATCATCATAACCAGAATGTACGAAAGAAACAAACAAAAATAGATCTGATTGATCATACATACAACATTAAAGATAACGTTTATGATGATAACAATGATGATAATGATATGAGGGGCATTCATCCGATTCTTATTTTTGTTTTGAAACAAAAAAAAAGATGTGCAACATGAAATCTTTTTCATCTTTTTTCATCACCATTTTTTTTAAAAAAAATGTCATTTCAATTGAATTGAAATTTTGTTTTGTTTTCGTAAAAAAACAAATTGCCATCTGGCACACACACACACACACAAAAAAACATTGTTCTTTAACGTTTATTTTAGGGTGGTATGTTTGTTAGTTTCCATTATCATTCATTCATTCATTCATTCATTTATTTATGAAATAAAACAATCTGGAATTGCTGGAAAACAACACAATGAATGAATGAATGAAACTTGTTTTGAATATTAAATATATTTGAAATGAATCTGTTTTCCTTCTTTGAAATGCTGAATTTGTGAAAATTAATTATTTTTTCTTTTACACACACACATGATGGTTTTACAAATGATGGTTATTGTTAATTACCAAAAATTGAACTAAATTTGTTAATTTTTTTTGTTTGTTTGTTTGCTTACTGTATGATCGGTTATATAGGTTGGTGATCAAATTGAATCAATAATGGAACAAAATATGATTGGTAATCGTCATTATGAGGTTGCAAATTTTCTTAAATCAATTCAATTGAATGAAATATTTACAATCACTTTGATTGAACCGATTGCAGCAATGGGTAATAATGTCCGTAAGTAGAATTGAATCAATGTTTTTTGGTTTTTCTCGTAATCAAATTAAATTTTTGTTTTTCATTGTTAATGTTTTGTCATCAACAAAGAATTACGAATCAATAACAATAATAATAATCATGAAAATAATAATAATAATCAAATGGATCCAATAATGACAAAGTCAAAATTCAATAATAAAGATTATAAATTAAAGATACGACATCATAATCATCGATATCATCATCATAAGCATAAGCATCATAATGATCATCAAATCATTAATGAATCAAATGGAAAATGTACAGAAAATTGTTTTGATGAAATTGACGATGATGATGATGATGACAATGACAATTATAATGATAGAATAGTTTTATATACAGGCCTTTATTATATAAATAAACAATTGGAAAAATTTATTGGTATTAATGATGATGAATTGGCTGAAGAATTATGGTTGATGGCTACTACTACCACCACCACCGATAATATCAATGACACTATTGATCATCATCATCATAATGATATATTTTCGATTGAACAATCACAACAAAAGCAACAGAAATATAATGATGATGATGAACAAAATAATCATCAAAATATAGAAAATGGCCACAACAATGATGATAACAATATTGTAATGTTGAAAAATGATTCCAAACTACTACGACAACCAACTAAAACACCAACCGAATTTACATATTCAATACAGAATTCTGATTTAAGTGATTTTAAATTTACTGAAAATTTTCTATTCGATATATGGTCGATTGTACATGATGTACTTGATGGTACATTAAAATTACCAAGCTAAAGTGTTTTATTTTTTTTATTTTGATAAAAAAGTAATCAGTAAATTTATTTTATGTTAAAATCCATCATCATCATCATCATCATTTCAAATAATAAAATAACCTCGAACTTTATTAAAATAATAATGATAATTCCTTGTATTTAAAGAATATCGACAGGAATAAAAAAATGAAATAACATTACCGAATCCATAATAATCTTTCTTGCAACCTTTTTTTCTTGTTTTTTTTCTTGTTCTCGGAACCTGAAAAAAGCTTTGATGGCAGAATGGTTCGAGAGTTAAAAAACGCTGCCATTTTTTGTTCACATTCGCGATAGAATAATCGATCGATTGCCAATGCAAAAAAAAAACTAATGTTGCAAATTTTCTTTCCCTCTCACTCTCTCACTCTCTCTCTCTTCCAACCACGATTCATTACTCATCATCAAAATTGATGATGTAATATTTTTTTCCATCCATTCATTCATTTACTCTAGGAACGATGCCATAATATCATACGGGCTGGTATCATTATCATCATCATCATCATCATCATCATGAACATTGATATCCCGCTATGGTAAACACACAAGGTTTTACTTGAATAATATTCTTGTTGTTGTTGTTGTTGTTAAGCATCGAATGAATAATGGTTGACCGTTATAAATATTTTTTTTTTCTTCTTCTTCTTCTTCTTATGGATCATCATCTCCATTTTTTTTTCTTGTGTTCATTTTTTTTTCTATCGGCATTAATTTTTTGTTGTTGTTTAGTTGTTTTTTTTTATATATTATATAATGATGAAAACGACAATCGCGAATAATAATAAATAATGATGCAATGAAAGAAACTAGAAAAAAAATATCAATTATGAAATTGGCACGTTCAATGACATGAATTATTAATGTTTGAAATAATTTTTTTTTTTGTAAATTCATTGATAATTCATTGACAGGAGGTTATATTTCATGTTTTTTTTGAATTTTCAATTTGAAAAATTAAATTTTTAAAATTTTCCAAGTGTTTACCCTTTTGACATGAAACAACAATTGATTTTCAACAATCACGGGTGATGATTTTGGATTTTTGTTTGTAACTCAACCAAGTTATTTCTGTTATCTGAGTTTCTGATTCAAATTGACAAGTTATCCAAAAGTACAAGGAACAAAGAGAGAAAGGCTTAATGTGCTTTTTAGGTTGTCAAATTAACTAGGGTGTTTTAAGGACAAACGAAATGAAAATTTATGTCATATTAAGCAAAAGAAGAAAAAAAAATTAAGATAGATTTGATTTTCAAATCAAATCAAAATGCAATGATAATTGTTCATTTCATATGCTGATGCATTTAGGATGAGAATTCATCCAAACAAAAAAGAAATGCCAATTATTTCGAAAGACAAAATCATCTGAGGAATCTTATCATCGATTTTCCTGCCAGCATTAATACCTTTTTTTTTCAGTGATCCTGATGAATGACGGCCAAAAGTTATTCATAAACACAAAAAAAATGATTGAACAGAATAAATGATAATGATGACAGAAACACAATTAAAATATAGAGCATATCTTATAGCTTGAATTTCACATAATGAACATCGTTGAATTTGAATCCATTTTATTCATTCATGCCATTCAATATTCGAACAATATTGTCTTTCCCATATATTTTCCAATTAATTAATTAATTAATTTAGAAATAATAATGAAAAGGCCCGTAACCATTTCATTTGAAATGAAATTCATTCAATAATTATTAACATCAGAAAAGTTTTGTCGAATGAATATTTCCGTCATTGACTATTGTTATCGTCATTATGTTTCATCTATAGAGAATTTCTTTTCTTTTTTAAGCTGATAAATTCAAATTTCATTGTTTTATTTAACAATAAGTTTGAAATTAATAATAATTAATTTTCACAAAAACATTGAAATTTTAACAACAAAAACAACAACAACAAAACAATTTGTCGCAAAACTTTTCCGGTCATCATCATTATCATTGTAATTATGATTATACAATGCAAAAAAAAGCCAATTCAATTTTTCAATTTTTTAAAAAAAAATTTATTTATAAAAGAAAATTATAACAAAAAATAAAAACGAAATATATTTTCTCTCTCACGTTCTCTCATTCCAATAATTTTTCAACAGTAATTATCAATATTTTTAAAAATCTAAAGATTTTACAATTTTACAACAAGAACAACAACAATAATAAAACAAACAAAAAAACATTTTTGACTATTCAATGGTTTCCAATTCATATTATTCTACAGTGATAAACTGGAAAATTCGATCCGTTTTTTTTTCGTATAAAAGATAAGATGATAAATTGTTTTGTTTTCTCATTTTCAATTCAAACGTATCTGTACACGAGGTTGACCATTATTATTGCTAGGATTATTATTCTGATCAGATGATCCGAATAAATTGACAGGTTCTACGATATTATTTGTACCATTATTATTGGATTGATGATGATTATTATTATGATTTCCATTTTGTGTTGGTGGCCTATTTGTACCAGTAGCTTCTTGCATCTGTATCGTATCTTCAAGATTATAAGCATGATTTTCAAATGATACACCAATATTACTGCCATTATTTGTTGTTCGACGAACACCACCAAATAATGATGATGAATTGGATGAACGAAATTTTGATAGAAAATGTTCTTTACTTGATCCATAATAAACCAATGCAATTGCAGCAATTATCAACAAAAAGAATAACAGTGTAAACATAACATTCGTTAATATTTGACTATCCGATGTAAGATATTCGGCCTGTAATCTTGATAGATTAATGACCAATGGTTCGGATGGTATGCTAGTTCCATGATAATTGTTTGTTTTGATTACAAACTCATATGTAGAATCTGGTTCTAATGATGTAAGTTCAAAGAAATTTTTCTCCACCCGATCACGATCCATTTCATTGGTGCCAACTTTTTTCCAATAAACCCAATACCAATGTGTTGAATCACGATTCTTTTCCGAATCTTCCCATTCGATTAATACATGATTATTTGAATAAATTGAATGTACATGTACATTTTTTGGTGGCGACGGTAAGAAACGATTACCCTCACGGAAACAACTCATTATATCACGGGCCGAACTAACTAAACAATAATCCATTTTTTGTATTTTATAACCAGCACACCAATGTAGACATTCGGTAGCTACCTCACGAAACATACAACAACGACGATGATCGCTTCCATCTACAAGAATTGAAGAAAAAAAAATTATTCCAAAATGAATGACCAATGTGTAATAAAAAAAAAATCAAATAAAAAATGAAATTCACATACCCGCAGCACAGTAAATATATTTATTCAGATGTTCAAGACATTTTTGATTCTTATACACATCGAATAGATTGATCTCTTTTTTATGGCATACAAACATACATTCGCTTGGAATATTTTTCTTCTCACAACATTCTATGGATGTGTAGGGCAATATGAAGAGTGAAAAAAATATAATTTAATCAAATTTAAAATTGAATAAAAATGAAAATTCTACCTGTATAATTTTTGGCAACATGTTCCTGATCATCGACCAATAATTTTAATGTCTTTTTCTCTTCACCATAATCATTACGGGCAATACAATCATAATTTCCTTGATTTTCTTTATCCACATTAGCAATGACAAAAGTGCCTACCCATGTTTTCGTTTTCTATGATTAAAATATTCATTTTATTAAAAATTAAATTCTTTTTTTTTCAAAATAATTTTTTACCTTTAAATGTGGAAAAATTCTCGAATTATTGAACCGACTAATCAATAAATTATCTTTGAGGAAACGAATTTTTGGTTTTGGATAGCCCGAAAATTCACATTCCAATACGGCCATACTATAACGTGGAACAATTTTCGATTCTTTATATAACGTAATGGTCGGTGCAACTATATCAAAATCAAAACGATAGAAAAAGTGAAATCTAAAACTTTTTTCCAAGAAAAAAAAGCACTTACAATGAACATTAACTTCACGAAAACTTTGTACTGGATGACGACTTTCTTCATTCACAGCTTGACAAGCGATTGCCGAAAGATTACGTTCAACATAATCAATAGAATGATGTATGATACGTGTTTTTTCTGTTTTAACTTTTAGGCCATTTATAAAAACAGTCATATTTGGAATCGGATAACCGATTGATTCGCAACGAATTGTTACCATTGAACCTTCAATTATCGGGAATGGATGTACAAATGGTTGACTAATTTCCAATGGTAATGATGGATCGGTCCATGCCAATAATGTTTCTGATAATGGTGATACTTGACCATTGGATGATCGTGCACGTACCGATATTGCATACTGTGTATTACGTGTTAGATTCTGTATGACGATTATATTTGTATTGCTATGCAATACTATCCATGTTAGATTACCAGCATTAAGATTTTTGACTTTTTGAAAGAAAATCTAATTTGTTAACAAAAACAAGATAACAAAAATGAAATAGAAATCATTATCATCAGAAATTGAAGAAACAAAATTTGTCATAACGATCCAAAAAATTACATACATCATAAGAATAGGTCACGTCCGGTGATGAATAATGTGGTTCAGACCAACGAAAAACTAAAGCTGTGATCGATTTACGAATCAATTCCAAACCATGTGGCGGACCAATAGTTGCATGTGTCACGTTCGTACTGATTGGTACATCTACTGGATTAGTACGTACAACTAATACTTGACTTGGTGCCGATTGTCCATATTGATTTGCTGATACAACATAAATACTATATGTTGTATTTGGTTTCAGATTTGTCAATGTAAAACGTGTATTGGTTACATTCAATTTTGTTGAATATTTATCATCAAATGGATGTGGTGGTATTGTTTGATTTGGTGATAATGGTGAATAACGTATCTGATAAGTAACCTGATCATTCACCGGTAATTCATCTAATGATTTATTCCAGGCAACGCTAATTGATGTTGACGTTACATTACTTGCATGTAATTCTTGTGGCATACCGGGCAATGTATCAGCTCCTTCGGCCATACATTGAAATATTTTGCCATCATATTTGGAACATTTGGCGGCGACATCTCTCGACGTGAAAGTAATCATTCCGTTACATAGATCAAAACAATCACTGTCGATACCACGACGTTCACAACATGGTCGATGATCACGACCACCAGCTAAACATCGCAATATTGTTCGAGCCGTTTTCGGTTCAGCACAGAATAGACTTAATTTGAATAGATCACGCATTTTAAGATGATAATTACATAAGGGTAAACAAGTATTTTGTACAGCTGCTTTTTCACAACATAATGTTTCATTATATCCTAAACTTGTATCCGTTTGATCTAATTGATCAGCAATCGGATCAATTTCAGGTGATGTTGTATTGAATAATACACGAGATGAACCACGGCTAACACCATGTTTATTGACAGCCGTAACAAAAACTTCATATCTAGTTGATGGTCGAAGTTTATCGATTAAAAATGGAGATTTATCAGCCGTTTCAACAAAATAAAAATCATCAGCATCTTCAGATAGTTCTCGATAATGAACCTGATATTTTATTATTGTTTCGACACGTTTTTTCGGCGGTTTCCAACGAATTAATGCCCAATCATTATGTACACTTGATACTGAAACTGATTGTGGTTCGGTTGTAACGAAACCTTTACGTTCAAGTACACAGCTTATCAATGATGACATATATGGTAGACATTGAAATTGTGATTGAAAATCATACATCAATGATGTTTGTCCGGAACAGAAATGTTTACAAAAACCGTTAACACCTTCTTCTTCACAGCATTGTCTATAATTAACAGAGATTTTTTTTCGGACAATGGGAGAGGGAAGGGAAAAATCGGAAAAGAAAAAACAAAAATTATTATATAGTGTGATGAAAGAAAATTTTTCGAAAAAAAAAGATTTTTAAAATGTGTTAAAAAAAACCTATACCAATAATAATCAAATAAGACGGAAATGATGAACATTATCATCATCATCATCATCAACAACTTGTTAAAGATCTTTACTTTAATAAAGATGATGATGATGATAATAAGACCATACATCATATACAAATATTTGATGTTTTTTTTTACATCAAATATTTCCTCAATGATTCCTAAACAAAACAAATTATCATCAAACTACACAATGCATGAATTAACAAACGAAACGAAAGATGGAAATGCCTAATAATTATCAATAACAATAAAAAAAAGTTTTTCGTTTTAAAAGAAGAAATTATTCACTTTCTTCACAGTATTGACAATAAATATTTTCCATAAAAAAATATCATTATTCACAGGAAATGAAATGATTTTTTTGTAAATTTTTTTTTGGCGAGATTGTATTAAATTGTACAAAATTTACTTACTCATAATCAGTATTATCACGAATCTCTTCAATACAACGATATGATGTATTCATATATTTCATACACATTATACTTTCTTCAACATCAACAGGTTCAATAATAAATGGTTCACATAATTGTTTTAAACAGGCTTCATTACGTACACCTTGTTGCGAACAACAACGTCTTAAACTTGGTGCATCAGTACCATTATTATTATTATTATCATTTGATTCATTATCATTTTCAATCGGTTTAATTGATTCGGATTTTTTTATATCCAATGAATGTGTTACCACACGTAAATCATTGGTGGGTAAACTTTCACCATAATTATTTAAAGCAATCATTCGAATTTCATACATTGTACTACGTTTTAATGGCCCAATTGATGCTTCCGTTTCTGTTGCCTGTACAATAATTGTTTGTTCCGGTTCATCAATTATTATTGTATGATTTATTTTTGACCAATTTTCATCAAATGAATGTAATTCACGGTAAATTATTTTATATTGTTGTGCTAAACTATTATCACGATTTGTCCATTTTAATAAAATCTGTATAATATGATAAAATCATTGAAAAATAAATTTAATTTATAAAAAACAAAACAAAACATAAAAGAAAAACACTTACAAAAGTTGAATTAATTGTTTCCACTTGTATTTCTTGTGGCTGTTCTGGTAATACTTGAAGACCATCAGCAATGCAAAACAAAATTGTTTTTGAATGTTCATGACAAATAGCATGATCTAATGCTTTTTCCAATGAATATCGACCACTACATGATGGTTGACAAAGTTGTGGTACTTGTTGCCTTTGACAACAGGGAAGATGATTTCGGCCATCCGATATACAACGGAATATATGTGCCATATAATTATAACATAATGTATACATAAATGGTTTAGTTTGATCACTAATCATTGCTTGTAGACTACATAATGGTCGACATAGAATAGGAACACCTTCAGTTTGACAACATTCATAGAATGAACGATCAACAAATGAACTTGATGAATTATATGCGATTGAACCGGGAGGTAATGCAGGCGTTGTTGAAGGTCGATATTCATCTGGTACATATGATCCACGAGTCGATGGTGGTGATTGTATGGATGATGATGTTGAATCAGTATGATTATTATAATGATCCAAATTTCGAATAGTATCCATATATGTTTTACGTACACTAACCATAACCATACGTGTTTCATGTACTTTTGGTATAGAATTTACTTCACATTTATAAACACCGGTATCTTGTACACGTGCAAAACGTATCTGTAAAATCCAACGTTCCTGTTTTTCTTGATGTATAACAGATAAACGTTTATCATCGCTAACAATAACCTGATTTGCTGCTAATAATAATTCTGATGTACCATTTAAATATTTCCATAATACGGTTAAATTGTTACGATTTTTAATCACACAATCAATATCGATATCATCGCCAACATTTACACGTATAGGTGATGTTGGCGTTTCCGAAAGATCGGGTAAATTTTGTCGTTGTGCTTGGGCAACTGAAATCAAAAAAGAAAAGAAAAAATCAATTTAAATTATTCATCTTTCAAACTAAAAAAAAACAATCAAATATTTCAATTCAGGATCAATATTATTGTCGATTTTAAATTCAATTGATTATTATTCATGAATGTAAATGAAAACAATTATAGTTCACGAAGAAGAAAAAGAAAATTAAATTAATTTTTACAACAGAAAAAAAAATTTGAAATGGAAATGATCATTTCGTTTATCATCTAACACTATCTAATGTTAATTGAAAGTCTATTTGCAATCATCATCATTATCATTCAAGGATCATTCATGGTATATGTTTATCAACAGGTTTTTATTTCTTATTTCATTTTGGGATGATACATCAAGATTTAATTTTTTTCCAAATAGTAAAATTTCAAACCTTTTCATATCATCACCATGATGTTTTTTTTTTTGATTAATTTTTCTTGTTGTTTTTTGTCGTGAGCATTCAATTTTAATTCATATCTTTTTTTCTGAATCTTATGAACTTTATGGTCAAATAGACACACTGACACAGTGACTGACTGACTGACTGACAGACACGCGTTTGCATAGATCACTTGCAAATAAGATCGTGATGATATTCAACAAAAAAAAAGAGGTGGAAAACTTATTAATTTTTTTCCCCCGATAGATAGATTTGGAAAAGATTTAAAATCCATCAAGAATTCAATTTTCAAGTGTAATTGATCCATAATATAATTTTATGAAATTAAAATAAATTACAAGTTCAAGTTGAAATAGGATGAAAATGAATGGAAATGAAAATGAAAATCCAAAGCCAAGTTCATTTTATTTTTTCCTATTAAAATATACCCCAAATTAAGAACAAATTGCGAATCGATCAATCAATCAACCAAATAAAATTTAACATTCAACGATTTGGTTGATTAATTCAATAATTTGAAATTTACATATATTTATTCATTCAAAGATCAATTTTCGAATAACACTAGATTTTCAAAAATTCAATTTTCACAAGCCAAAATTCAATTTGACAGGTTTCAACATTGTTGTTTAAACCTATGTATAAATTTCCGTCATTTTGTTTTGTTTTTTTTTCATTCAATCGACAATCGATTCGGTTCAAGGAAAAAAACATTTCATTCCGAACAAATACGAGCCAAGGATAAATTCAACCAAAAAAGAAAGTAAAACTAAAATTTAAATCGTCACCTAACAAATTATTATTTTTTCACATTTTAACACCATTTTGGATCGAAATTTGTTTGTCTGACAAACAAACACGAAAAAAAACTTGCTAAAACGATTTATTCATTTTAAATGGCCATCTATAATTTGAAATTATTATTATCAGCCACTAAATAATCATTATTATTATCAATAAAAACAAATTTGATGAATTTTAATATCATCATTATTGATCAATTGAAATACAATGTATGTGTGTGTGTGTGTATGTATGTTGGTTTGTAGGTAGTGAGAAATATATTTATAGAAAGAAAAAAAACCTTCAACATAGAATCCAATGTCAGCTTGATGTTTTATCATCAAATACAATCTCTAAACATTCAATTCCTAATATCCATTAATTTTGCATTGCTACTGCTAACTGTCATATTTAAAAAAAAAATTTATGGATTATAAATGGACATAAATGGAAATGGCATTTCTTTACTGCTGTTTTTGTTTTTCAGTTAAATCCTCAACACACGTATTGAAGAAAAAAAAAATATGATTTAATAAAAAAAAGGTAACCGAGAAAAAAAAAAGAGTTTTAAAATATATTTAAAAATATACCTGATAACAATGAAGATGATGATGATGATGATAAAGATAATGGTGATGAAATTAGACAAAATATGGCTAAAACGATGATTGTTGGCTTTGTAATATTTGTCATCGAATATAAAGACGATGATGATGATGATAATGATGATAATGGTGATGATGATGATGAACAATGTAACCGTTGACAACAATAATAATGGCTACTATCGTTATTATTTGAATGATGATTTTTATTATAATATTGACTGGTATTTATCGACGATAATCTATCTATCGATAGTAATGATGATGTTGTGGTGGAAAAAGATGTCGATAATGAAGAAGACGAAGAAGAAGATTTGTTTTCATCCATTAATCTTGAATTATCATCATAATCATCGATAATCTGATGTCTTTTTCTCGTTTGAATAGGATTCGATGTATTTTTACCATCATCATCATCATCATCATCAACACTACCAAATTGTTGACGACGATGATGATGATTAAATCTAATTTGATGATTATAATGATCATTATGATTATCATCAATTTGATGACTACTACTGTCTGTTAATGCCATCATGGCATTGTTGTTGCTATTGTCAATCATGTTGTTCAATTTTCTTCAAACACACACACACAAAATAATTAAAAATTTGATAGATTATGAAACAAACACACACAAAAAAAACAATCACAGATCGTAGCGAGAAAATATCACTTTTGTTTCCAACAAAAAAAAAAACACTTTGTGATTGTCCAATTTGATGATGATCAAATTCTATTTTGATTCATTGAATGTTCATGTTATCGTCTTGTCACGGCTGTTCGATGGTAAAATGGAATTGGAAATTTCTTGGAAAACTACTCACACACATCACACAAATTTGCGGCTGAAGATCTTGGTGGTTGATGTTCGATGTTGATGATGATGATCAGCTGAATGATGGGGAAACAAAGTCCTTTTTTTCGTGTTTAAACTTTATTTTCTATTATATCAGAGCAAAAAAAAAATCACAAACAAAAAACATTGTTGTTTTGATTTGAAAAATGAATTTGACCCATATTTACAATGACCGGAAGATCTATTCAGAGAAAGACAAAAAGAAAAAAAACCAGAAAATTAAAACTGATAAAAAATTCATGGAAAAAAAATTTGGGGGAACGTCATTTTTGAACCGGTGAACAAACCCGGTGAACAACACACAAATATTGTCATCGAACAATGACCCAGTCGAGCAAAAAAAAACGATCCCAATTTTTTGGAATCCAGGAAAAAAATTTTTTAAAATTTCTTGAAAAATTTTGTCCCATAAATTGATGAAACAAACAAACATAAAATGATGTGCCAATCTGTTTGTCGTTAGTTTTCATCATCATCATCATCATCATTATTTATTTGTTTCTCTCATTTCAAAGCGCAAAACAAAAAACAAACAAACAATGCAAAATGAAAAAAATAAAACATTCTTTTTCAAATTTCAATTCACCATCATTCCCGTTATGAATCTCTACCACCATTATCATTATCATCATCGTCATCATCGTGGTCCATTCACAATGAGATAATGAAGAAAAAAAACTAAACAAAATTTGTTTTTGGGAAACTGGAAAATTAAACAAATAGCTTGCAAAGATGACACCAAAAGTGGACGACAACGATGACGAAAAAAATAAAACAAAAATTCAGGTATGAAAACAGGTTTCAGTTTTGTTTTGTTTGTTTCAACAATAATACATTTTGGATGTTGATGACGATTTTTTTTTTGTTGTTGTTATCTTTGACTATTTTAACCCAAATGTTGATGATGATGAGTGTTGTTATACACACAAATCTTCACGGATATGACAATGATGATGATGATATTCAGCTTTGGATCATCATCATCAACAACAAAAGTGGTCAGATCAATTTCAAAATGGTCAAAAGTCAACAACAATTCATTTTCGTATTTGTTTTATTCGACTTTCTCTTCATCTGAATTTTTGGTTTCTTCCCAAATGAAACCAAAAGAAGAACTCGAAATTTAAACAAAACAAAAAAACCTAAATTTAAAAAAGATTCATATGACAAATGAAATAATGAAGAAAAAATAATAATAATAATGATTTCTCTTCACGAAATTAAAGCTAAAAATAGTAGGATAGGTAGGATTTTTTTTTCTTCAAATTATATTTTCTTGATGTGATGATGATGATGATGATGATGGATTTGATGTGATGCTTTGTGTCCAGTTGTTGAATGATTTTTTCTGTTTTGTTTTTTTTCTCGTTTTGTTTCGTTGTTCTTCATCATTTAAAAATTTCTATTTTAAGTATTGTTCAGAAGATACTTAGTTATTTGTCATCATCATTGTGATCTTAATCTGTTCAGCTTACTTGTTGTTATTATTATTATCAAACCGAACAAACGGTAATTGTAGTCGTTGATGTTGTTCGATAAATTATCATCCGGATGATGATGATGATGATATTAAGGATTAAATAAACTAAAAAAACTTTATAATGATATGTGATGGCAGTCTTAATCAACTAGAAAATTTAAATTAGTTTTTTTTTGTTGTTGTTGATTGTATTCGGGCAACAGCACTGAAAAAAAATTATCGATTGATTGGTTGATCGAAGATGATAAAATGATTTTTTTTATTTTGATTGTTGAAATAAAATCGAACGTTTTTCGTTTTCATCATTGTTCGAATGTTCGAACAGGTCAGTTTGGATCGAAATAGAATCGAATATATTTTTTTTCGAATGTTTGATTTTCTCTTTTTTCGTTTTGTTGTTGTTGTTGTTGTTGTAAATATTTTGATGTAAAATTTTCCTTGAAATGTTTTTAAAAAAAAAAAAATTTAAATTTAAAATTTTCAATACAAAGATGTGCGAAAGTATTTCAAAAACGATAAATACTGTACATTTGATAATGATAATTTTGTTTTGTTGTTGTTTGAATGAGGAAAACCAAAAAAATGAAATGATCATCTCTTTTCGTCATCTTTTTTCTAAAAAAAATTTCATTTTGGATTTCAAAGTTTGATTTAGTCAATTCTGTTAATTCACATTCACCATTGGTTGCAATAAAAGAAAATCAAAAATCAAATCCTGTTATGGCTGCTGATGATCGATCATTATTTCAACAATGAACATCAGTGAGGTATGTTTCTGATGATGTCAATCATAATTTAATTTTAAAAATTCAACAACAACAACAAAAATGAAATTAATTTTTTTTATAAAGAAAATTTATAATTGAATTTTTTTCCTTTGAAATCTACCTAGTTGTTGTTTCGAGTTAAATCAATTTGATGAAAATTTTTTTTTCTTTTGAAATGAATGAAACAGACAAACACACACACACTGCATATTTCACCAGATTCATAAAATTATTGAGGAAGTAAAAAAGCAAACAAACAAGGAAAGAATAGACAGTCTATTCTATTATTTAAACAAAATCATTTGATCATTCAATCATTTTTGTTGTTGTTGTTGTTGTTGTTTTCAATCGTAAAACAACAGAAAACAAATTGATGACTAAATTAAAGAATTTGTCTGTGAAAAAAAAATGTACAAAATACAGAAGTGAAATCAAATTCATTGCCAAATTGATAAATTCAATTGATTTGCAATCGATCAAGAAAAAAAGAAAAAGAAGAATAAATCTTCTTCATTATCATTCATCTTTTTTACCGTTTGAAATCATGTGGTTTGAATATTTTTGTTTCCCTTCACTTTCTTTTCTCGATACTCTTTCTGTCGAATTGATTCGATCGATTAGTGAAAAAAAACCCAATCAAAAAATCACAAATCAAATCATCTTTATTATCAAGCAAAACAAAAAATCAATAAACACTTTACATACCTGATTTATTCCGTTGTCATAATACACAAGAAGACACACACACACATGTCACATTAAATATTTTCAATGTAAAACACGAAATAAATTTTCTTTAAACTTTGTTTCAAATCATCATCGAAAAAAAAACATTTTGAATGAATAAAAAAACAAAAACAAACAAACAAACATTTACCAACAACAAGTACAAACTTCAAAAACAAATGGAACTAATCTAACTTGTTGATTTTCTTCTTCTTCTACGTTTCTCTCTCTCAATTTTTTTCACGAGATGTTTTTTTTGTAATAACTTTCAATTTCATTTTCTCTTCTTGGATTCGTTATTTTCCTGTTTTCCATAAAAACTACGACGTTTTTCATTCATTTAATAATTATTATTATACTGCAAAACGAAACACACACAATGACGACATAAAACTAGCAATTTCATTCTCTCTTTTTCTCCATTCGTTCATCTGTGTATTGATTGATTTTCTCTTTTACTTTTGCGTCTCTTTTTTTTTGATTAACAATTTACCTTTGTTATTTTTGTTGTTTGAATTATTATCAATTCATTTGATAAACGTTTTGTCTATTCTTTCTTTCCATATTTTTTTTCACATTCAAGCTTCTTTATGTCTCTTTTTTGCATTCTTCAACGTCACATCGAGAGACCAACAAAACAAAAAAAACCATTTGTTCAAATGATTGATTGATTGATTGATATTCAATCTTATTCATCAATTATAATTTTTGAATTTTCAAATTGACTATTTACATAACACATACACATGTATACACAAATGGCTATTATTACATGAATTTTTTTCTTCTTTCACATTTAGGTTGAAATAGTAATTTCGAATCATTCGATTGCTCGATTCTTTTTTTTTGCAGAATAAGCAAAATAATGTGCGATGCAGATTTTGTTGTTGATGTTCAATCAATAATGTATGTTTTGTTTTTTTTTTGATTCAGTCATTTCATCAATCGAAAGGATTTTCGGTAAAGATTCAAAGATGATCGATAATTTTTTTTGTTATTTCTATTTCGAAAAGAAAACTGAAATTTTCCTCAGTCATCGTATTATTGAGAAATAAAGAACACTATAGTCACTATCTCAGAAATCGATTGATTAATCGAAAATCGTTATCGATGAAATTTTTTTTACAATGCTGAATTTCCAAACAATCGCTAACATTTGTTTTGTGATTGCTGCAAAAAAAAACAAACTTATCAGGTCAACGTATATGAAATGAATATACGATGATGATAATGGAGATATCGAGAATCATTTTTACATCATCATCATCATCATCATTGCAAACACAATCCTAACGAAACTCGTTTTAACATTTAGAAAATAAATAAAAAAAAATTCAAGATTTAAAAATGTCAACATTGTTTGTTTGTTCAGCAATTGGGGTATTTGAAGATTTTTTTCGTCGAACAATAATGGCAAAACAAAATTTCTTCATAAATGATCATCGATTTTATTGATCAAAAGTTTCCTCAATATGTTTTTTTGAATCAAAAAAAATTTAAAATTTCATGGCTATTTTGATCATATTTATCGAGTGATGGACGATAAAAAAATCGATTCAAATTCGAATGTTTAAATCGATAGAATCGTTCATCACAGGTCAATCTCCGAAAATGGTGATTTGTAAACAAAACACAAACAAACAAAAATGGAAATGACATTTATAGTTTTTTTCCCATTCAAAATTTTCTTTACTTGCTTCAAAATGGTGATGATAAACTTGTTTCATTATATTCAATCCATTTGTGTGGGTATTATTATTATTATTATTATTGAAAACATTATTGGGAAAAAAATACAAACAAAATTCACGATTGTTCCATGTTGATTCATTTCCTTTCTTCTTTTTTAATATTTCCTTTTCTTTCCTATACAGAAGAAAAAACAAAATTCAATAGCAAAATTGATGAAGATAATCATCATCAACAACATCATCATTCTCGTGATCAATTAGGAAATGATCGATTGTCAGCAGTTATCGAACAACAACAACAACAACATCCAAAGCAGCAGCAGTTAGATTCCCATAACAATTTATGTGTGTTTGTGTCAACGACTTTATAATCGATGCCCCATAATTATGATGATGATAATCACGAATCTTTCCGAAAATGTATGTTTGTATGGAACAAATATAATATGATAATAGCAAGT